TTTGAGCCTTTGATTACTCACGTTTCTTTATTTTCCATACTCTGCAGTCTTTTTCTTTGGCATTTTTATTTGTATTTCTTATTTGTTATTTATTTTTATTGTTGCAACGAATTGTTTTTGTTTTCACAACAATTTAACACTTTCACGCTAAGCGCGCTCACTTTTCACCTTAGTTGTTATGATTTGTACAGTTCATCAGCATGAACGGAATGTTTGCTGTATTGTGAAAATATGCAGAAACGGATTTTTTCCTTTTTTTTTGTTAGTATTTAACAGATGTCACGTTTTGGAGATCGAAAAAGAACTGCTGGTTTGGCACGATTTGCCAATTGCATATACCTCATAGTTGAGTACAAAAGACTTAAGCGACGAACTTGCGGGGGAACAACAAATCATACAAAAGAAGAAATCAATATGGGAATATATGGGAGTTATACACAGTAGATTTGTGTTTTTTCCACCCTCTTATTTATTTTACTTTTGAGTTTAATTTGAATCATCATTAAAACTTTTCATTATTCAAAGGTATTCTAAAAAATATTTTATATGAAAATTTTCGAATTTTTGCATTTAGTTTCTTTTTTTTTAATACTGAATCACGCAAGTTCAAAGATTTTAAAACTGACAAAAATTGTATGCAACAAGTAATTTTTGTTGCCTGAATTTTTCATATATTTCCATTATTTTTATACAAAATTGCAAGTGTAATAAAAATTAAAACACCTCAAAAACATAAATCATGGCTAATTTCAAAAAACTCTTACTCTAAATCAGTGAAAAACCAAATCGAAAAACGCCATACAAGAATGATAAGAAATTTCTTGCATAACCAAAAACCCATATAATTTGTTGGCCATATATTAAAAACGCGGATTTAGGATACTAATCAGAATAAACAGTGCTGTGATGAGAAAAATATAAATTGAGGCTTTCCATCGTAGCAGCAGCGACTTAAGTTTTTCAAAAAGAGCAAAATAAATAATCCTAAAAATTTAGTTTTCAAAAATATAATAATGGCATGTCCAATCATCAGTCTCGAACTAAATCCAATTGAATATTTACTGCAAATATTTTCATTATTTTTACTTATAAAAATGTTCTTTGTGTGTGCTTGATGTTGAACTCCTTTTAAACTTTTCGTGTTCAACAGAACGAGTTTTTACCACTGCGGCTGCTTTCATCCTTTGAAAACCTTCCTCCCCGTGACTTCTTTTTTAAATTTCAAAATCTTTCTTTACATCCAGTATTTTTTAAAGCATCCCACGCAACTTGATCGGTGGAAACGGATGCACTATCTGCTCAAGAAATGAGTGTAATAATGGTCCCTGGAAGTTGAAAGTTGATCAATTAAATGATAGCCTTGCTACTTGAAATATTTTGGTAGCCTTTCCGCTTTTTTATTCACTGCATCGACCCGTGTTTGGACTCAGGATTATACTAACAAATCCAAGAATCATTAATTCTTAAAAAAAAGGTTGCAAATTTCTTCAAAATCATCTTTGGCACAACTCCAAAAAATCTTTATAACTCTCCAATGGTCGCTTCTTGTTGAGCGGAGTGAACATTCGCGGTACCCAACGCGCACCAAATTTTTTCATATTCAAATGTTCATGCAAAATCTCTTCAGTTCGTTCTTTTTAACCCTCGATATCGGCTCGCACATTTTAGCTCTTTACTATTCGGGAGAGCTTTATCTCAAAATAAATTTGTAATAAGTTACAAATTATGTAATTTGGAGAGGAAAAAAACGCTTTTTTGTTTTTACTCTTTGTGGTCAATATCCCACATCCGATCTGCGCCGTAAATCGCCGTGGCGTTGGATTGATATATTATTTTCTGAAACGGCTTCTTCGATTTTGATGAAGTTTCGTACGCATATTCGCTGGGTCTGCGTGAAGGTTGTTATTTATTTTTCAAATTGGGAAGAGGAGCTGGGAATGATGTATTCCAAAAATTTTTATTAATGTTTCGATTTACTTGAAATTCGGTACATAGGTGGTTTTTTGTTTAGATTAACAGGAAGACTACAATTCTACCTGGGAAATGGACGTGATCTAATCGCAAAATCTAATTTGTTGTTCGATTTAATAGAATTTCGGTGCATGGTTGGGTTTTTGCCTAGATTAACAGGAAAACTCCTCTTTTCTCCGGATGGTTCGGTTTACTTGAAAGTAGCTTTTCTTCTAGAAGCGGATCAGGCTATGATCTATTGAAAAAATTTAATTTTATAGTTCAATTTTCTTGAAATTTGATAGTTTAGTACCTAGGACCAATTTATTCGTAAAAATCGTTTCAATTTTGTATTAATATATACACATTTTCGGAAGTGGACCAACGTTAATATTGTATCGCGAAATTTTAAAAATCTTCCGACATGTTTCACATATGCATTACTTTTCCGACCGGCTCTAAAAGGGTTACAGATAAACCTGTTATCTGCCACAATTTAATTCTTCGATCATCCTTATATAGAAGGGCCGATGACATCTTTTTAAGAATTTCTATCGACGTACTTCCTTTTTACAAGGAATTTAATTACAGCGTGGGATTTCCAGTTTTCGTTGACATTTTGGTGTTGTTTGTTTAGTGAATCCAATAAAAAAAAGTGTGTTATCCATACTAATAATAAGTCCTGCAATTAGTATTATCAGTATACAGATGATGTGTCTTCTCTAACAACCTTAGGCAGCGAATTTATTAGTCGTCCCTCGCATATAATAATGTAATTCCATACACAACAACAAATTCTGTTTTCACACGGTAATTAGTTCCACGAAAATCCGTATAAAAAAACGTCTAAAAAGAGACATCGATCGTGGGCAAAATGGGTGATTGGTTCCTTATCTACAAAACCTATTGAAATGAGTGAAAAACAATGATTTTTTGAGGAAAACTTTACAGGTTCCTTTTACACATATATATGTACATGTATGATGTTTGGTACTGATTCCGTCTACGACAAGCCGTATTATGACTGATTTTCCCATTTGGTCATTAGTAACATCTCTAGTGTATGAAGAAAATTTAACAGATAGTTTCCTTCCGAAATCACGGACGCTTTAAAATTTAATTTAATGTATATAATTGGCGCATTGTAAACATTGAAGCCATTTTTTGACCGAGCTCGTCTTCCAATTTGTGGTTTTCAACAAATGGAGGTACCTACAGTTTATACTAGGCCGCCTCCGAACGGCTGAGTGGCTTTTTTACGAGGAGCCTTTACTTCATGTCATAGATACACTCGGTGGGTTGGACATTTCCTGCCGTGGGGCTATTTAACTTAATTTTTTTATTTAAACCAACTTTCCATTGATGTTAGTGGCGCCGGGATATGAGCCCGAGCCCTCCGAATGTCAGTATGTAACGTAGGTAAATAAAATTTTCCCACACAAAATGCCTTTAGCGAGCACGTCTCCACATTTTAGTTGTTGTCAGAAATAAATTTCAATGTCTGCATTAAAAGGCAAGTCCCTTAAATTGTGATATGAACATAAGTCTTTAGCAAAAATTAAAATTAACCAAAACAATTTAAACCTAAAACGTTTTGAATCGTGCTAAAATGAACAAAATCGTATAAAAAATTCAAAATTCTTTATTTTTGAACCATTTTAAATCAAAACCGTGTATAAGAAGGCAGTGCAAAAACAGAATTAGGTGTACTTTTATATATCTCCGAGCATCTGAAAGTGAGATCAGATGGAATAATCTCTATATATGTAAATATTTGAAATAAATAATAAATATCAGATCCAATGGGAATAACAAAATATATTTTTATCTTATGTGCACTTTTTATAAGAATCATAAATTTTATTTCACTCATCGCAGGATCATTTTCAAATATTTATATGAGAAGAGTATGCTCGCATCAAATCGCCCTCAAATCTTATACATATGGACGGGAAGCACTGTGCCTCATACCATTTCGTTTAAAAAGAAAACGAACTTTAAAATGGATGATGTTGGCACACTGTAATGATTTTTAGAAACCAAAATAAAACTGAAATAAATTTTCCATACCAAATAAATGTCTTAAAAATAACACTTACTACACGCAGGCGCAAATTAAATTAAGATCAACTGAGTATAAATGGCAAACACGTTATATGTACATATATGACAAAATTTCCAGTGAAAAATAAGTTAAAATTTCCTAATTAACTTAGAATGTTATGAATAAACATATAAAAATGCCGGCAAAATAATATTAGTTACTTACTCATATACATACATATATAAGAGTACATATGTATGCTGCCTTGCAAGGTCGTTGGTAGTGAAAGTCATTTGTCGTTCCTTTGAATTTATCAATGAATAATTTGTTTTTGTTTACAATTTCGTCGGGACAGTACAACTTATACATATTTAGATGCAAACATACATACATACACACATACAATGAATATAAAATAATTTGCAGTATCTTTTGTTGGTTAAAAGGCACAATAAAGTACAAATAATTGCTAATGCCTTTAGTCAAAACATTCTCGTTCTATTATATTTATGTATGCAACAAAATACAAAAAATTTATATTCGCACAAAAAAATCAAATACAGAAGCTGTGAAATAAATACACACGCATAAAGTTACATAAAAAATGTGCGCAAAATTTTAAAATTTTCAAGATTCTCTTAACAGCATGTAGAACAAGCGTACCTGATGATAGACATGTTGGGTGGTGGGCGTTCACATCTTGCATTCTAAATACTAGAATAAATACTGCTGAAAAAACGTAGAAGGAGTTGTTAGCATTTCACATCAACATGCGAAAAAATGCGCTTACTTTTATTGTACATGCCCGTACTTAGATAAGTACAGGTGAATTGAGTAAGTAGCTATTTCAGCTAAATTTCCTCACTCCTTAATGATTCTTTTCTTCTTTGCCATTTGTTTTTGTGTTTTTTTTTTTTGTTTTTTTTTTTGATTTTTTTTTGCAAATGATAACCTCTTGCTGTTGCTTTTTCATGCTGAATTTGGGTATATAAAGAAAATGTGCGTTGGTGGATTTATCATCAGAACGCATTTGACTAATAGAGCGCAAACAAGCAGCAGTCAGATAGAAATATTGAAAACTTCAAAAAAATATTTATTTTAAAGAAATTATTTGCTATACACAGACATACGTTGTACATGTTGTGAGAGTGTATAAAAAAAATAATATCTGATAACAGTTAAAAATACCGTGAACGAAATATTTAGCAAATTGTGGTGGATATATTTGGACTATTGGTGAATTTCTACAGGAGATTTGAGAAAAATTATTTTGTCAACTGACGATTATAATATCATGAAAATGAACTTTAAAGTGAGTTTACAATGCAATTAAAATCAAATTAAATTTCAGGTTAATCAATAAAATTTCAATTGTTTCGGCTGCCATATTTGGAAATGCTTTAATGAGTTTAAGTTTTATTTCGTTTTTATCGGAAATGAAATGTTCTCGTAAATATTAAATCGTTTACTGATAATGTTAAACGTTAAAATTGAATTGTGTTGTTAGTAAAATAAAAAGCAGTCATTTTTAAATTAATAATTTCATTTCGTCTCGTTGACATGATGCCGAAACGAAAAAAAATCATTTCGTTATATTATTTTTCGTATTAAATGAATGAAATGACTATGTTTCGTTAGTTGAGTATTTTTCATAAGGTGTTTTTGAACTAAAAGTTTAATAAAAAGCAAATGAAAATTTAAAAAAAAAAATACGAACAATAATAATACTGCTAATAAATTATTAATAAACAAAAATATTTATTTACATATTTTTATTTAAATATATCTCCTATTAATTTCAAAGGATTTTGTTTGCTAAAAATTCCAAAAAATTGTAAAAATAATTTAAACATTTATGAGAATTAATCAACAACTGAATATATAGTAAAAAAAAATTTAACTCCAAACCAAAAAATTTATATATATATATTTTTATATTTCCAGCTTTTCTACACCCGTTCTTGTCTAACATTTTTGCTCATATTCCTTGGAAATTATGTTGCCCGTATCGATGGCAAACCAACAGTAACATTTTTGGATGGCTACCTTGAAAGTATCGATCGCGATTATATCATACCATATCAACAACCGATAACCGACTATCATCTGAGTCGCTTAAGACGTGGCTATTATTACGTTGAAGATGGCTATATAACAGCTATACCCGAATCGGCCATATTGGCTAATCGGCGTGTGGATACAGTGGCTCCAAACGGTGATGAGACCACCGCGAATGCAGGAAAATATAAGCGTACACATGGCAAGCGTAAGAAGCTGTTCGTACCAAATTTATTTGGTTAAGTGCAGCGGAGAGAGGAATAAAAGGCGAAAGAGAAGTGTAAGATACAGAGAGACAGAGATGGCAATGCTAATGTAAATCAATGTCAAATATGCGCAAAATTTTCCTCACTTTGGTTGGATGATTAATGCATTTATGGTGAATTTTTGCCTTTGGTGATTCTTGGCTGCATTCAACACTCAGAGATGAGAGACTGATGAAATATGTATTAATTTTTTTATTTTTATTCTTTGTTAAAATATAATATATGTACGTATGTAGCCATTGGTATATTCATTTATAAACATATGCATATATTTAGTGCTAATACTTTGTTAACCTGATTGTATTAAGTTTTTGTATTATTGGAAAAATTAAAATTTTTATTAATTAATTTATGCTCCTAAACATAAGTGTTCAAACGAAGCCATATTTTTTATATTAATTTTTTTCCCATTTTTTTCTATAAATTATATAAAATACTTTATAAATATACATTATTGATGAAAATAAATTCTTATAGTATATATATATAAATAAATAATTAAAAAGCCGTTTTTTTTTTATTTAAAACTCACATTTGGTGGCACCCTTGTGTAAGTGCCTGCTTCCGTTTCACAGAAATTACTCATTATTTGCTCTTTATTCTACTCATCGATTGATTTTAATACATACAGACATACATACATACATACATACATATATATTTCATAATTTTCAGCCCTACTTGCCAAATAACTTTCGTTACACTTAAATTTGTTTCTATGATAATACGCTTATTAGTTGTTGTTTACTTCATAGCAATTGCTTAATAATAATAAGTGCAAATATTATTTTTGTAATTCAAAAATGTGCTTTACTTAACGTCAAATTAACACTTCCGTAACATAGCTGCAGTTGTGTTCATTAGAACTTGTTAGTTTCAGTTAAATTCAACAAAAAAAAAAATTTTTGTTATAAGGGCTTTACAGTAATATTTTTGCCAGTTGACTGAGAGTGTGTTTTCACTGCGAGAGGCCAAAACTATTTATTTGTTAAAAATATTGTAGAAAATAAATAGTTTTGGGCACCTCGCTGTGAGAACACCTCCAATCAACTGTCAAAAATATTACTCTAACAGCCTTATTGAATTCTTTTGTCATCTACAATCCACTAAGTTTACCTATAACAGAATGATAAGACAAGTTGACACTAAGCAAAGTCATACTCAAAATGAGCTTACTAATCTTGAATTTCATATAAATATGGATAGATGTGGGTTCTAATATTTTTCTATGATATTTCATTACATTTCATTTCCTATAAGTCGTTGTGATCTTTTCGTTTTGCCTGAAGATGGCTACCATACCTCTCTTGAATTATCTTTAGATGTTCCTTCCAAAATTAATTGTTCAATACCTACTTCAAAAACGTAAAATAAACTCCATTTTAATAAAAAAAGGCAAATTATAATAAACTTAGAAATATGCTGTCTGCAATTTCCTGACAAATGTTGGGGAAAGCTTTTCTAATTTCACAAAAGTTATACATTCTGCTTTCAGAAAGCTTATACCTATAACAAATGAACCGACCCGTGCCAAAGAGCTTTATGGTTTAGCGGACTAGATTACTCAAGCTCTATAAAAGCTCGGCAAAATTACTGAACAAAGTGCTTATTCCGTAGTTAGGAAAAAGTATAATTTTTCGTAGAAGTCATACTACAAGAAGCAGATAACAAGAATTCGAAATAAAATTGCTTTAAATCCAAAGTATCCCTGTAGTTTTATTAATTCTAAACGTAAGACTTTTGAGTTGCCATCAGCTATGTAAATTAATAATGAAGTTTCTTAAGATTGTTTCAGAATCGCAGATATGTTCGCAGACTTTTCTCAATTTAATTATGCACCGAACATAGATTCGACACCGCAACCTTTCATTTATCATTACTACTTTTTTTTTTACACCTCATATTTTCGCTGATATTGGTTATCACCATCTTAATGCCCTTAACCCTTAAATATGCAATATTGTTTGTATACTACGAAATGATAACACGAAACGTGCATCAGCTGTTTAAACCTGTGCTGCCAACAAGATAATAGCTAAAAAAGACAATAGTTTACGATTTGTAACCACTGGTTTTTTGGCCGAGCTCCTCCTTCAATTTGCGGTGTGCGCCTGCGTGTGTTTTTTCCAACAAATGGAGGCTACACAGTTTATATTAATCCGTCTCCGAACGTCTGATGGGTGCTTACGAAGTGCTTTGATTTCCATGTCATATAATTAGATGCTATGGCCAAGAACTTACTTTATTATAAAGACAAACGATTGCCACCATGTCTTAAATATGATTTCGGACACGTGGCATTTCACTGACTGGAATTAATTCCAGCCGAGAGACTCAATTTACGTTAACTTTTTCCAGCAACCAATAACGCGCCGAATATTCCATTCCAAAGCATCTCAATTGTGTCTATCGTACCTGGGTAGACAAGCGACTTCAGATTACCTCACAAAAAATAATCCAGCGTTGTTAATTCGTACGATCTTGGTGACCACACCACAGGCCCACGACGTGAGATAGTACGCTCGCCGAAAGTTTCTTTTAATAAATTGTATGTTTCGTTGGCTGCTTGGCACATAGCGCTGTCCTGTTGAAAACAGCGACTTTTCGATTATTTAACGGTGTTTCAATAACGGCTTGTAGATTATTGTCACTCCAAATGCGACAATTTTGTTTATTAATGTATAGTGAGTTTCATCGCTTTTCGGCTTCAATTCATGCACGAGTTGAATTTAGTTAGGCCAAAGACCATGAACCTTCCGCAAAATATGGCTAACCAAACTTAGTAACAGCTGTAAAAAAGACCAATTCGGGAAAATTTTTTGCCTGATTGAAAAATACACGTCTAAAAAATCTCCCTTTACATAGTCTGTATTTCAATTATTATTCTTTTCATAAAATATAAAGGTATATTCGTACATAAACCACTTCTTTTTTTTTTCAATTTTATGCTGGCAAACTATTATAATTCTGTCATGTGGCCAATGCTGCATCTTATATTGTATGTATGTATAGTTTATACTAATAATTGAGTAAAAAATAAAATGAAATATCAAAAACTGATTGATATTTTACTTGAAAAATATGCACAGAAAAATAGCAAACGAATAAGTTAAACAAAAAAAAATTTTAAAAGCGTAAAAATTATGTCAAAGAATTATTGTAATATATTTAGACAAAGAAATTTGTATATTGCGAATAAATGAAATACCCATATTACGAATTTAGCGCCTATAATTCTGCAACAGTTTTTAATACTCTTTGCCTCGCCTAAAATCTTCTTGATATGTTGCTAGGCTTGCAAAATAATTCGAATTTTTTAATTAACAAAGCTCTCATGTGTGGAACTGTGCTGGTATATTCATTAATATTGGTTGCTATAAACACACAAACATATATACGCTAAGCAATACTAAATACAATACAAAACTTCAATAATAAGAATTGATATTTCTCAGCCTCCTCTTGGAACTACCATATGTATGCTTAATTACAATGAAGAATAGCCTTTGACATTATTATTAACCATAAAAACGTAAAAATTTATCAGACAAGTTTTAGAAAGTGTCAATTAATAATTAATTAACCGAACTGTTATTAAGGAGGGGTAAGGAACGTGCCTAGTGTAATGACCTTAAAAAAAGTAGATTTTTGGGAATTTTCATTAAAAAAATACTTTATGAATTATTTCAAAATTTTAAGAATATATTTATACACGTTTCAAGAATATACAGTGAAATTTTTGAAAATAAAAATTAAATATTTTTTAAGTTATATTTGATCTTCAACGGCGCAAAAAAAAGATCCTTCACTGATGCAGTGATTTCGGCCTTCTCCGTGGATGAAATCCAAAAAAAAATTCTCGATAAGATAATATGGTCTGTACGATGACCTACGATAAAAAAATCAAAAATTGACAATATGGCGGCGTTTAAAAAAAAAATAGTCGAGTTTTACATACAATTTTGGTCATTTTTGGCCTGCCAAAATTCGATTTTGTGATCAGATCAAAAATCGATAGGCCATTGTACGGAGAACTATATATGCAAAAAAAAAAATTCGATGATTGGTTCATTTGTTTTTGAGTAATCACTGCAGCAAATTCGGAAAATGCTGTTTCGAGAAAAATGCATTTAAGGATAAAATGATCGTTTTCACTCAAAGCTAATGAGACTCTCTAGCTGCCGAGCGGCTGCTCTTTAAATTGCTATAACTCAAAAACTATTTGATATATCGATTTGAAATTTTAATATGTTATTTCTACCGAAAGGTGTAATCTACCGAAATATGAAATAAAAGATCGATTTTTTATGAAATATCACACTAAGTGTGCCCCTTAATCGATTTCTAATTGCTTCTAATTGATGGTCACACACCTAGATTAAAAGATCTACAAGCGAGGATTTCTTTCTTTCTTGTAGTCTAAGAAGTTTGGGGAGTATTTTCTGTACAGGATATTATTTTATATATAGGTGAACATTTTAAAAAGATATGTAGGGAAGGGGATGAGTCATTGACTTGAAAGTATAATACCGCAAAAGCCTCACCATGTAGCCCATTGTCATGATTTTTCCTTTAATAAGAAGGGATTAACAGAAGTTCGGTAAGTTGACCAGAAAAAAAATTATATATATTGTAATCTTTGTCCTTTTTTATCTTCTCTTTTAATTTTTTTTTTAATTTTTGGAAATAACCAGAAACCATTAAGTGCTATATCCGAGGAATACAGTGCTGGACCTATTTGTAGCGCCGTAAGCTCTCTTACTTCCTATTTTCCAGTTGCCGCTAGAACTTTTTCCATTGGAATAGCAGCCACGATTTTAGACATCATTTATTTTGCTGCTGATTTTTGTTGCTTAGATCTTACGGTTGGGTTTGCTCCTGCTGGGCTCCGTACCATGGACTGCTGTTTGTACTTAAAAAATCAAGATTCGTCACCAGCAACGACTTTACTAAAGTTATTAGGCTGACCATTTTCGAATTTGTTTAGGAAAAGTTGAGTAAAACGCACTCGAGCTTCTGTCTGGGCCTCATTTAAAATTTGTGGCATCCATCGAGCATATTTTTTCGTGCATCCCAAATGATTACTCAATACTCCCGATATAGCCATGGTATTCAATCCCAATTCAGTAGCAATCACTTCCTGTATCAGTCGAGGGTCTTTGTCAATTTTGGACTTCACCAGAGCCACAGTAACGTCATCAGTGGAAGATTTTGATCAACCTTCTCGGGGCTCGTCCTCTACAGAAGAATGTCCAGTCTGGAACTTTCGGAACCACTTAGAAGTATTCTTTATAGATAGTGCAATCGTTCCATATGCAAATTGACATTCACTGAATATTTGTATTGGCTGTAAATTAAGCCGAAACCCGAAGAGAATTCTGTGTGCGTTATTGGTGGAATTTCGTCTGACCTATCCTCAGCTATCTCACGTTTTCACTACTGTGAAGGCGTACCATTAGTGTCATCAAAGTGACTAGAATGACTGCAGCGCATGTACAGAAGAGGACGAAAAGTTGAGACGGCCCTTTTTGTAGCTTACAGTTAAGTAAACAAAAAAGTGGTAATCATGTTTAATTACGTGGGAGCATTCTTTCGTTCAAGCATAGAAATTCAGAATTGAATATAATTGAACCGATAAAGAATTGTCAAAAGCATATACGAATATGAAAATTTAAAATTTTTGGTGAAATTCTATTAAAATTATACAATTAAAACAAAATTGATAAAAAATATTAAAAATAAATTTCAAAAAATCTTTTTGGCGGTCTAAATTCGATTTCACTGGTTATGGACAAAATTAAGCCAACAAATTCAACAAGAGTCTCGAAATATACGGGAACTAGGGGAAAGCACGCTTTCGATTCCGAAAAAAAGCAAAAAACTTACGAAACGGAAACACAACAAAGAAGAGAACGCGAGTTTAGAGACGACCACAGAAGTGGAAGAACCGATCATCACCATAAGACGGAGCGGGTAAGCCGAAGAGATCGTGAAGAAAATAGTCACCATGAATGCAAGTGTGAACGATATTCCCGAAGTGATGTTGAATATAGAGAAGGGCTTGACACCAACAGCGCGTGTGAGCTAAGAAACGAGTGTTTGGTGTGCTCAAAGGGTTTAAGAAATGAGAAAGAAGTTAAAAGTGAACGTTTATCAAATGACATGAAACGGGCGAAAGATATGAAGGAAAGTAAACAAAACAATAATGAAAAAGCTAATACTGATAACAAAATCCTTCTGAAAGAAATCAAAGAACTCATTATGCGTGCGCTCGAATGCGAGCTCGACGGCCACTTATTGGAGGCACGCATGCTGTACGAAGAGAGTCTCACTAAATTACATATCTGTACAACCACTGAAAAAAATGAAGAGTTTTCTGAGAGCTATAGGTGGGTAATGCTTTGGACTTTAATGCAATCTAACATTATCGCGCATTTCTTTCTTTTCAGAAAATATCTTGGTAGTTATGAAAAACACGTTCAACGTTTACGCGATCAAATCGAACAGAACATGTTTGGCTGCAAGATAATTGAGCATATCGCCATACCCGAGGGTACACGCGGTCGTAGTTATGAAAAACTAATCGGTCGTTACTTGAACGACAAAGTGACGCTCGTACATATTTACGAGCCATATCTCACGCAGAGCACTCATTTGGAGCATTTGATAAATTTCATTGAAGTTTTAGTGAAAAATTGTTCCAATTTAATGTTTGTACGCATAATAACACGCGCCAGTCCCAAATTGAGTAAACTACAATCGGAAGTGTTGCGTGATGTGCGCGAAGAGTTGCAAAGTGGAAATATTTCGTTTAACTTCCAGTTTGATGAGGAACTAAAGAAGTCTCGTATTGTTCTAAGTACTGGTGTGGTGATATGCTGTAGACGTGGCTTACATATTTATAAGCCCATGTCGAAGTACTACAAGCTCGGTTTGTACGACTATGACTTTCGGCGTTGTGAGAGCGCGGAAGTGGATGTTTATCAAGGTAAACCCTTTTCGGAAGCCATTTCGAAGGCAGACAGAACGGAATTAATGGAGAGTTTGCTACACACTTGACGATGAAAGAGAAGAAAAAAATATCCAATATAATGTAATGTAATAAACTAAAAAAATAAATAAAAAAAATAAGTAAAACGAAAATTAATAAAACGAAGATTAAAAAACGAAAATACCGAAATTGCCCGAAATTGATTTTTCTAATAGTTGGAAATATTATATGCGGTTTTGTCCACTCATAGTTTTTATTACATTCTAAAGCCCAGGTGGTGAGTGTGGGATTAGTGTCTAAAGTAGACACTGCAACTAATTCTATCTCCAAGGAATATTTCTTTTGCCTAGCATCTCTTACACTTGATCTAGAAAAGCGCCTTTCCGTGAGTCGCCCTAAGAAGCCAATGTGACGTCAGAATATATATCTCTTCCTAGCACTCTTTTAAAAAAGGTATCCTCAAACAAACTGTGAAACCTTCAGTTTTAATATACCTACGAGAGGCTAATATAAAGCTATTATTTCATGTCCTAATACACTAAATACACCAGTCACAAAGTACCATTTATAAATATCAATACACTGAGAGGAACTTACTTATTTGTCGAGGGGCCAAGGTTCACAGAAAAATGCCAAAACGGTATCCATATGGCCAGTACTGAAGCTCGAGACCTTCCGGCTCTTAAAATATTGCAATAACGCTAATGATTTCAGATTCAAAAATATACAAACATGGAGTATAATAAGGTAGGTAATCAGTTAATTTAAGTAAAGCGAGCATTGCGTACTGCCTATCGGTTGGCTCGGGTTCAAATCCTCGTGCGAAGAACATCCAAAAGTTATAGAAAATGAATTTAAACAAAAAAATTAAGTTACATTTTCTTATTGCGGTCGCCCCTCGACAGGGAATGTCAACCTCTTCGAGTGTATTTCAGACTTGAAATAAAAGCTCCTTATAAAAAAACCATCAGCCGTTCGGAGGTGGCTTGGTATAAACTGTAGGTCGCCCTATTTTTTGGAAAAACATAAAGACGCAAAACCTCAAATTAGAGGAGCTTCAGCAGTTACAAGGCGCCAATTATTATTATTATTATTCCAACCAAATGAGGAAATCAAACATCAACTTAGAACAAACCAACTTTGCATGTGCGGAGATAGTTGAAACCACCGTCTCTCCACAGTCTTCGTGCGTACTCTCATCTACGGCCGCTATATTTACTTCACTGCGTACAGGGGGTAGTCTATTTGGTCGAAGAGTAATCCAATAATAGATGCTGGTCTCAAGATGGGTGATGGTGTTGTGAATAGCACGCCGATTATGTTGATCATAAGTTGAGCGAAGCGCGCGAATAAATTCATTACAGAACGTGAATTTTCGTAATAAAGTTGAGCAATTTGTAAATGTTGGTCAGGATTAAGTCTTTCCATGATGAAATACCAAACAAAACTGAACAAAATTAACATGACAGCTTGACAAGACTCACTACTGTTGATTTGTTGTTTGTAGGAGTGCTGTATGACTCAACCGATCATCATGAATCTTCGTACATATATTTTTGGAGGTATTTGAAGTGAGTAAATAAAGTAGGAATATTTTTTACAGAAAAAAATATAGTTTTTACGAAATATAAAAAAAATTGTTTGTCGAAAAATCTCAAAAACCAGCTGCTTAAATATCATCCAGCTTTTCAGTAGTGAAATCCAATAAGCCTGGGTACCTAATACCAGCAATGCTTAAATCTAGACCTCGGATTAGAATTATGCCTACTGACCTTTCCTTTCAATCATCGCAAAATGCCTTGTAGGCGCTTTCCGGAATCGAATTTTCTTTTACGGCATTAATTGAGTCGAAACGGGTTCCGCGGAGTGGTAAAAAAATGGAAAAAATGGGGCCAATCCGGTAAATAATATCGATGGTATTGAATGAGTTTATGGTCTTGAAATCGTTCACAACTTCAGCTCGGTGCGATGGCGCATTACCGCCATGGCAAATCCATGAATTGCCATGAATCCGAGACCAAAAGCAGAAGATTGCGGCTACACTTGACTCTAAGGCTAAACAGCCCTTGATTTACTCATTAACTGTCATAAATTACATGAAAAACGGAGAAAGCAATTCCGTGATTATTTTAAAGATCGTAAAAAGGTTTTGATGCAGAAAAATGAGTATCAAGGAACAATACTGATGGCTTGACTAATAAAAATGTTGCACAAACATTTCAAAGGGTTGTGCGTTTCAAAGTTTATTCTCCATAAACACAAAGATGATTTCGAAGGGATGGTATAGTTAAGTTCATTAAGTAGGAATGGGCTCTTGATAATTTCTTCTTATAACTTTAGTTAGAACCAAGTCTCATTCTACGACAATGAAGTAGAGGCAGTCTAAAGAGCCGTAAACGACTTTTGTAAGGAGGGAGATTCTTATTCACATCTCAGTTTAAATTTCTTAACGCAAATACTCTGCTATTCCGGTAGATGTCGCTGTTTATGATCTAATTTTTTGACATTAGACAAGTAAAAACTACGCCAGGAATAAAAATGGAACGCTTCAACAACCCATTGAAATTATTAAATTGCACTATAAAAATGGGGAAGCCTCTCAGTGACGGTACGAAAAACCAAAACATTTTTCGGTCATCCTGAGGCATCTTGTCGGTACGCAATAAAGTTATTTGTGGGAAAAGTTGAGTTCTTGGGACAAGTTAGTGGTGTGAGGAATAAAAATTCACATGTTTTATTGTCTCTCATAACAATTAACAATTTTGTTGCTGTATCCCAAAGTGTTGAGGAAAACCCACTCATATAAATATTATGAAGCCTTCAAAAATGAAAGGCAGGAAAAAGAAAACCGAGCAATGGGCAAGTGAGATTGTGGTACGTACATAGATATTCATAATATTTAAAGCCACAAAATCATTAGTACTTTGAACTTTTGCAAGTCCGATTGAAACAAAAATTTAATTTGTTTTGATATTTCTTTAAATTTTTATTTGAAAACTTGATTATTTTTTGTATATTCGTTTAAATTAAGAAAAAATTAGCGGGAAAAATTTTAAAAACAAAGTTTAAAAAAAAGAGAACAAAAAGGAAATCTCGTAAACAATGCTTCTGAACGTAAACGACAAATACGGCCCCCTTCCAAAGGTGTGTATACGAGTACATACATATGTAGATTGCAGGAAGTTTCCACAAATTAATTTGTTTATCGACATTGTGAACTCGTAAAGGGCACGGACATATAGATTGTCATATAAATTTTGTTTTGTTTTAGTTTCTCAAAAAAATTCGATCAATTAACACTTTCGAGTTGGTGTAAAATTCCAAAACCTATGGAAACGTAAAACTGCCAGTAAGCTCCTAATCGAGAAAATTATTAATAAATGTACACATATATTCATATACATACATGTACATATGTTTTTGAATAATGACAAATTTTAGCATCCATTGAATATTTATGATTCACAACACACATACATATGTATGTTGTTTGTTTTTTCAATCCACTTTTGATGACTAAGTTCCGGCTGAAAGTTGTTGTTTTTTTTTCTTTTTTTTTTGCAGATCACACATTTTGATTATCATTTCATTGTAAATTTCTGCGAATCTATCTAGGTGACATTCCTATTTATTTTTGCAAATTTTGTTTGACATATTAACTCATATGCGTGTGACAAAGATCAATCACGCGGCTTCATATTCAGTTTCCATCTGAATTAGATTGCAATTTGATACGTAAATTTTTTTTCACGCGTAGCCGAGATTCTTCGTTACTTGATTATCTTGTTATGCTTAATTGGCATGTAGACCACTTAAATTTTTCTTAAGGGCCCTCATGATTGGGAAGCTTCAGCACAGCAAAGCAAATCAATAGCTGAAATTTAGTAAGGGCGAAAGGGTTCATTCAGTTCAGAATTTGTTTTACATAACTTTAATAGTAAATACCAGATCTGCTAGCACGAGCTTGGAATATTAAAGTCAGACAAGAGCCATTAATTACAAATTAATCCGTTAGAAAGTTACACAACGAACAATGCGACTAACATTTCTCTACGATTTTCGAGAGTACGTAGATTTAGAAGCTTTAACGATGATAGAGAGAGCAAGATTTATCGTGGGATTCCATCAAAAATGTCTAAATGTAAAAAGCTAAAATCGTTTTTGAACAGCCTCTAACTTATCGGTGTAAACTTGATAATTGGCGTTCCTTATTAGTCAACCATTTTCTAATATTGTCCTCACCAAAGTCGTACAAAGTGCTTCAGTTACATAAGAGTCTTTAAATTCTTTTGACCATCTTTTGACAAAGACTGGGGTATTGATGTGAAGATGGAAGTTGAGCTTAAGGCCCACCAGAACCTACAAGTTAACAAAAGTTGCGCATTTGTTCTAGACAATAGTTATTAATTGTATAAAGAGAAGGTTGAACCAGTCTTTGCGAAAGGCACATGGTCGTATCTATTAGAGAAAGCTTGATTGAAACTCTAAAAGATCTAGTTTATGGATGACAATTGTATGATTGACTTTATCGAAAACTTTGCTGGAGTCGGTGTAGATAACATCAGTTTCCTTATTATATCTAAAGGCTTTAGAGATATGTGACACAAATTCAAGTAAACTTTTAAGGGTTGATTTTCGTTTACAAGTTTCGTGTTGGGATTTGGAAAGTAGTAAAGAGATCGAAAGGTTAGACAAGAGAGCTTACTCTTCATCTACTTCAACTCTTTCACTGTATATATAGTCAGTGATAAACCTTTCTGCTCTGAAGCCACACAGATAAGGTCCAATTAGTTCATTAATGATGGGTTTTGGTCTTTCACACTGTTCCCTCGTTCATTTTCACTGACATTCAGCAGACTACAGTAATTTTCTCTCCAGAAACTTAGAATAATCTAGGGACCAGCCGATCAACTATTTGGGGTCCTACATAAATGTGCCCCCTTCTTGAATCTCTCTGTAATCACTGAGTTATTTAATAGATTTTTCGAGCATTAGCGCTGACGATTCAGGCGGGTGCGTATCGTTGCTGCTACAAGAGAGTAGTCTGATACGATGTTGAGTCCTCAAAATATACGCAAATCAGGAACACCTGAGACAGGTCGTTTCTTTCACAAATGATTGCTCCGGTAAATTTTATAATCTAGA